GAACAGCACTGAAATGAAGCAGCAGTGGAAGGGAACTCTATTGTTTGAAAGTGGTGATAAACTGGTGACGACTCTATGATGATTTGTATGTATAGCTTACAGAACATCATCTAGTTTACTTAAGACCCAGAAAAGTTCATGGGGTTTAACCCATAGATAACTGGTCACAGAATTCGGAGTGTTTTCAAAGTAACGACCTGACTTCTATCAATGCAGATGATTTACAAGCCATGAAGGTGAGGAAACTTTTACACTGCAAAATATGTTATTGGAAAGTAGAAACACCTAATCTCATGGACCAATTTATCAAATTGCCACTGCCTGTATAAAATTTATTTAGAATTTAGACCTTAACACAATTATCCTAATCATTACTTGTAAATTTTGGGAAATGTAAAAATTAGAATAAAATCCTCTAACACAGATTTCTATGTTAAGAGCTATAACTCTTATTGTATTTTATATTTTACCTGTGTAACTGTAGTATTAAAAAAGATTTTTAGCTACCACTGAGGCAAAGCTGACCCAACTCAAAAGTCAATTAGCTGCTGCTTGACATTCCAAGAATAATTTTCTCAGCTATGTAAGCTATGTACCTTGGAAATGAGAAAGGCTGCTTCCATACATAGCATTTAGCAGTTCATCTAATTCAGGAGTGGGGAATCATGGCCCCTTTGTGACTTGTGGACTTCAACTCCCAGAATTCCTGAGTCAGCCATGCTGGCTCAGGAATTGTGGGAGTTGAAGTCATAACAGGGCCATCATTTCCCACCTGTGATTGAAATATTCCCTGTAGTCCATTACTCACAAGCCTTAATTGCTCATTAGGAGCAATTTATTTACATTTATTATAAACAATAGCTACTTGTGAGGACGGAAATAACAATAATCAGCACTCTAATTTTATATGTCTTGCAATAATGAACCAGCTGTCAAGGGTAAGTCTGCTCTGCTTCACTACCCAGTTCTGGAGTCAGATAACCATCCAATTTTTAATGGGAAAAAACTGCCAGATCACACCTGGAAGGAGCTTATTTCGAATTTTTACAAGATAGCTGAAGTATTTTTTTTTCTTCCTTAATGAAGAGACTGTCAGGTCAACCAGGTGTCCTGCCATTCTATTGGAAGGGGGGGAGGCTGGCATGCTTTGGATGCTTTTGCCTGGACACTTGGGAATTAGGAAGGGGGAATGTCTTTGGAAATAGGAGAGACTTCCTCCCAGCCGGTTCTAGCCTGGTTCCAAGGCCGTCGTGCCCTGAGAGTGTCCTGTTATCTGCTTCACACCTCAGCATTCTCAAAACATCTTCTTGGCATTACATTGGCTGCCAGTGGACTGGTCAAAGGGGTTGGATTTGGGTAAATGAAAGAATTGCTTTATGCTTTGCGCAGGATCTTCAGATTCTGCCTGACTTTTTACTGCAACCACTTTCTCTCAGTAAAAGTTCTTTTGATTCAACTCAATGGATTCAAGAGTTTTACTTTCCTGAGGGACCAGCTGAGGCACGTCCTTACAGCAACACATCCCAGAGTGGCCATATGGCCATACAATATACTTTTGTATCTACTGTGCCTATGTTAATATGGGCAAATATTTGATTAGATTGGGAATAAATAGCAATGGAGAAAAGGAACTTTCGGGAGAAACAAAACTTACAGGGAAAATATCAACAGGAGATTTGGGTTAGGTCACATGGCAAAAAAAAATATATCAGGAGTCTGATAGCATCTTTTCCAACTAACTAGTTTTATGAAAAGACATAGGCTTTCATGAGCTGTAGCTTATGTCATCAGATCCACAAAATGGCTAGACTGATTTTAGATTTAAACTGGGATGAGGTGGGAGAAGAAGGGGAAATGTGATTATGCATATTACACATAACAGAGTTTATAGAATTTGGAAAGCATTATGAGTATCAAACATACAGGAGAGGACGGACAAACTTTTGGGAATTAAGCCACACTTTTCTTTGTAAATCTGATGCCATAATAGGTACTTCTGGAAGATATACACGTGAGAGTTACCAGAATTGTCCTGCTTGCTTTTCCTTACAGGAAGGTTTGAAGAAACATTCTAAAAGTTGGTGCCTTCACTTGCAAGGAATACAACTCTGACTATCTCAATCAGCAAGGCTACTGGGCATTTTAAACAGGAATTTGTGCTAAGGGCAGATGAGAATATGAAAGAAAGCCAATGAATAATTACATCACCTTGTCTAACTGAAGTGAATACATTGGCCAATTACTGGAAAAGGCCAATATGTGCTTGGAATGGTCAATTGTAAAAGGAAATAAGACTGCCAAAAACAATAGCTAGACACCATCAAAGCCACACCACCCAGAGCATAAAACAAATGAAAGAAACCATACAAGATTAGAAAATGTGGAAAGAGCTGGTCCATAGAATTGCTGAGAATTGGACATTGTATTGTACAGAAGCATCATCATCTGAATACAGAACAAACTGTGGTAGCAATTTGAAAGAAAAATACACATGCAATGTCTGAAGTGAGGTGCAGAAAGTCTTTTATGCATATTTTCCTATGTCAAACTAAGGGACAGAACTTGCTTTAACAGAATCTTGCCATTCTGATTTAATTCACTGTCCAAGTCTCCATTTGATCTGAAATACTTCTCTCCTTCCCTCACCAAACTTAACTTTTCAAGCTCCATGCCTAGGAAGGTTAAGTCACCACAAAAATATTTTTTTCCTCCTTTAAAGAAGATAAACTGTCAAGGCCTTTCCTAGTTCTATTCACTGACTCATAGTTAGTACATATAACAAACAAAAGAAAAATCACTGCCTTATTTAGCTATAACGTTGTATTTTGAATGTTAAACTGGCTAGCTACACAGTCTAAAAAAACCTTAAAGAATATGATCCTGCATCTAAAATTATTTGATGGGTGTGTGTTTATACGTCTTTGAAATAAATGCAACAAGTTTATAACATCTGATGACACTACCAGACTTGAAAACAAACAAGTTTCAGATCTCCTTTCTATTAACATGAACTCTTTTTTCTAGCAAATGCTCCATTGCTTCTTTTGCACTTTCAATACCAATAGATTGGATGGCTATGCACAATTTTGTAAGTATGCCTACATCCCTATATATTATTGTGTGTCATGACATTTTCATAAATATCTATTTCAGATTCTGCTGAGACCTGCCATGTCAAAGGTTCTTAAAAGAAGGGAAATGTAGTGTTGGAAGAAATGTCCATCTGGGTTCAGTTCCAAGTGGGAAGAAAGACACTGGAAACGTGGAGACTACTTGGAAGGATGGTTTAATGGTGGACAGGACCACATGGAGTGGAGAGTGAGATATATTTATACCCACTCTTGGGCTTTGAACTTGCTTCCTGTTCCTGTGAAAGAAATGTATTCTGATTGGTTGTCAGACTCCCATGGGGCCATGCAGGGGTAACTTTGTAGGTTGTCTTGAGTCCCAGGCTTGGTTGAATCTTGCAGGGAGCTATAGGGAACTGCTTGGCCTTTAAAAACTTGTTTCTCCTTTTCTCATCCAGGGAAATATAATATTCTGCCTTTTAATATTTCCTAGAATATTTCATTGTTCTAAGAGAGGGGTGGGTACTAACTTTCTACAATAGTCAGTTCTGTTTTCTGGGAGAACATAAAATAAAAAAAAAATATTTACAGTACCACACAATTGGATTGATTTAATGCTTTTTTTGCATTTTTAAGACCATCCTAGGAGTTCCAGTTGGTTGAACTAAATAATTAGATAACATGTAACTAGATAACATTCCTCATCATTTTATTCTTAATTCTGCAAGGCTGAGTTGCAAATGGCTTGATTTACACATTACCCTAAGCTATCCTCTTCACCATGGTCTGTTGTAACCACTGTGCTTCTTGACATCTTACATTAGCCCATAAACCAGACTTTACAACTACATCATCATTATGGTTGAACATATATAGAAATCCTGTAACCAGGATTACTAGTTTACTGAATGATTGATCTGGCCTTTTAAGCTGCATTGCATGATGGGACTTTAATTTTAACAGCACAATATAAATTCCTTCATATTTCAGTGGGCAGTTTGAACACTAGATATAGTGATTGTAGAGTTCACAATCCTGTTTTCTCTGATTTCTGCCCTCAGGAAGCTGGCTAGGTAAAAAAAAACAAATATTTTGGCTTTCTAGGCTGAGGTAGAAAACACAAACAGGAAATGAGGGTTTCCCCTTCAATTGTTAATCAGCCCACAGTCCCAAAACTCAATTCAAAAAATTCAAAGTGCCCAGGGAAGGAGAAATTCTGTTTATCTGTTATCCAAGACCAAGTCACAAATTTAAAATACAGTAAGAATTAATTCTTACATATATGAGGAAAAACCCCTATAAGCAATTAATTGGAGGTATCAAAACATTTCTGTAAGGTACAATTTTGCTATTGTCTTGGAAATACCTCAATATCCATAGAGTAGAGTCTATCTGGCACAACAGGTAGTTGTATGGGTTTTGATTGCCAATGAGAATATAGTGGGCATTTTAGAAGGACGTGTGAAACAGTGACAATTTCCATATTAAGTACGTATGCAAATACATGCCCAATCTTCATAGGGAAATTTGTCATATTAACCAGCTATCACTTAATAGGAAGAGCACCTATACAGGTTAAGCAGAAGACACTTCAATGTGGGGCACACAGAATCCTCTGGATGAAATTGAGGAGCGTCCAAGAGAAAATTTCGTTTGTAAGGCACATGGGGAAAGTCTGACCAGCCAGCCTGGCCAGTCAAGCGGCCGCAGCAAGAGCCTTCCAGCGGCGTTGGATAGGAAGGGTGGTTTTCTTCATCTCCTCCCCCTTCATTGTGCGCGCGGCGGAGCCAAACTGGGCGTCGTTCCTTCAGTCCCGCCCTTCACTTCTCCACCCCCTCATCGAGCTAGCTACGAAATGGGAACAAGCCGTGGGTTTTGTGGGGACAGTTATGGGCGAGGTGGGCGCTTGTGCATACTCAGGACGCATTGATGTTTTTCAAGGGCGGCATCATCAGAAGAAAAGTGTACCTTTGTGACTGAGCAAATAAAGAAGCCGATCACCTCCTCCAGGTTTTTATGACCCAAACCCCAATGACAGAGAGAATAAAGAGCCTCCGTTCTTGGCTCAAAGTTGCGCTTTCTAAGGAGCCTTAAGCAGAATTCCCTTCCTTCCGGAGTACAGACTCGCAGAGGCTGACTTTTGCACCTTGGATTTCGGGACCTGAGCATATGCAATTAAAAACATGTTTTTTTCGGGGGAGGAGCGGAAGGAAAACTTGGCGAGGCGCTGCAACAGATCTACCACACCCACCTCCAGATTCAATTTGTTTCAAGCAAAAGCCCTTTCCCCGCCGAATCTGGCTTGCAAAGAGCTTCGCGAAAGGGCGCCTCTAAGACCTCTCACAAGCGACGAGCCCAGGAATCTGAGGAGGGGGAATTAAAGAGGTTAAACCCCGTTACAAGGAAATATTTCACACTTCAAAGTATTTCCAAGCTGCCATTGCTGACGGCCCAAAACATTGGATTCGAGGGGATGGGCTGGCGCATGCTTGCCTAAGCAAGCCCAGAGGCCATGTCGGCACTCGCAGTATAAAATACCTTGGCAACATTTTTTCCTGCCCTGTTCTTAAAACTCCACCTCTTCTCAACTCATGAGTAAGACGGGCTTGAGTCATTCTAAATTGTTTTGAGGTTAAAGTAGCGTTTCCCTGCTAAACGTTTGCTGCATTTTAAAGCTATTTACCCATGCAGTGTGGTTGTATTACTTTTACCCTTCTCATTTTTCCTACTACCTTCTATTGGTATCTTATGAATGATCACTTGTTTGTATCTTATGATTGTAACTATAATTTATGATCAATGACTTACCACTTGGTTGTTTATATGTACACTGAGCTTATGCATCGGAGACAAATTTCTTGTGTGTCCAATCGCCAATAAAGAATATTCTATTCTAAAGCCAGCGAGAACTCCAAATCACTTTGCTAGGCACTACAAGCGAGGTCAAATCAGGTGGTTAGCAGCGGGAGGGGGCAGAGAGATGCTTATTGGTGGTTTCAGGATGAGATGAAGCTGCCTCCTCCATTTAGCCATTCTATTGTCTCCCCAGGGAGCTGCAAGCCGTTAAGTCGTGCCACTGCCTGATTTTGCTGGCGTGCTTAGCTGGGAGTACAGAAAGTGCTTTATAGATTTTGCCGTGTGGTGCGTAGTTCAAATAGCAAACCAATGGAACGGTGTGGCAACTCCCTGTCCCTGGCCTGCAGAACAAAGCACGCAGGCATCTGCAAATCAGCATGTATTGGCTACCTCAAAAAAAAAAAAAAAAAAGGCGAGATACCCTAAGGAAAAGTGCTGCCTATGACTCAGCTCCTTTTGTGACTCAGATCAGTTAAAACAAAAAAACAAAAAAAACAGCTTGGGTTGTGACAAAATGGGGAGTAGGAGGTTGAAGACAGGAAACAGATCACAATCCTGCAGTAAGTCTCAACCTGCTGCTGCTGTGTTGTAATTGGTGGACATTTTGCTTACGGGAGGATCACGTACAAAAGGGGGAGACCAATGCCTGTATGTCACCCCTCCCCCCTTTTTTTGCAGTTTAATTCGGTAATAAGGAAAGGCCTCTATATAGCATGGCACCTACTGCCATCTGCTGAGTATGGTGTAGAATGACGTTGACAAACCTATTGGTGTTTTAAAACGTCATCTGGGCTTCATTATGCTGAAATTGGAGATAAATACGAAATACTTCGAGTCGAAGTTGGCAGAAAAATCGCGTGAAAGAGGGCCTTGAACTCATCTTTATTTCCTTTGTGAATGCAAGGATTATTATGCCTCTACGGACCTGCAGAAGAAATACTTTGCAATTCAGCCCTAGGAAGCACGCCAGGCAAGTCAGTCTGGATTTCTTAATAAATATTGTCCTTTGGCACACACTTAAAGGAAGCGAAGACTGGTATTTATAAAGGAAAAAAGCAAGCTGTCAATGTACAGAACGCTCATGTTCTCAGAATATTTCCCAGTACCGAGTACAGCATGAACTGTGCAGAAATCTCTCAGAGGGAAAACTCAATCAAGAACTACAGTATTGATTATAATGGATTCTGCAATTGTCTTCCAGTCTGCAGAGGAGAAAAACACATTTTCTGCAAGACTCCCTGGAGGTGAGACCTAGTAAGTGAAAATCATAGGTTACAGGCTTGAAAATGGATTAAAGTTCATGGAGGGATGATAATAAATTAGAGGGATGAAGCCCCAAAGAAGATTGGGTACCAAATAATACTGTAATTACAATAGCACAACAATGAAACTGCATGTGCAAAATTTTAAGGTAATCAGAAGAGAATTCAGTAGAAACTTCTTTAGCCAGCTTGGTCCACTATAAATGAACTATGAGTTAAGTTGTATTATTCAGAGCAGATTCTTGAATTTGTGTTATGAAGGTGATAATCCCATTTGACATTTTATGAGAATTTTTTGTTTCAGTGTTTGAGAATTATTTACTGGTTTTGAATTATGTATTGGTGCACATATTTATTTTAAAAGAGCCTTTATCAAAATTTTAAATTATCTTTTAAAAACACATTGGCACATCTTGATTATTACTACTTTGGATGCTAAAAAAAAAAATTAAGCATATTTATATACAATTCATAGTGACTCCAGGAGCACACAACATTATTACAACCACAATTGAGTCCAACATTTTTGTTACTAAGCAAGGTAATTGTTGAGTTGTGCCTCGTTTTATGATCTTTTTGCCACAGTTGTTAATAAATCACTGCAATTGTTAAGTGAATCTGTTTCTCCCATTGACTTTGCTTGTTGGATGCCATCTGGGAAGGTTACAAGTGGTGATCACATGACTCCAGGACAATACAACAATCATAAATACATGTTAATTAATAAGCACCGGAATTTTGATCATGGGACTATGGGGATGTTGCAACAATTATAAGTATGAAAAACAGTGATAAGTAACATTTTTGAATGCTGTTGTAACTGGATGATCACTAGATAAATGGTTGTAAGTCAAAAACTACCTGTATTTGAATAGGCTGATACCTGATATAGGCAACACCTTTAGGCAATTAGATTTCCCCAACATGTTTACTTTCTATGTGGAAGGTATATTTCAGTGATATGAAATCCTAGATGTTGGCTTCTTAAAGTATAAGGCTTATTTAAAGAGGTTCAGTCAATTTCAAATTGTACCAGTGGTGAAAATATTGCTTTTCTTCTTAAAACTGTTGAAGTTTTTTTTTTTTATTCTTCTTGTGGGCAATTTTTTTTAAAAAGAATTTTTATTTTTTAAGACAAACATACATATACAAAATATAAAAACATAAAACCATCTTCCATTTTATATACATACAGTGTGTCAGTTGGTTACAAATCTTGTGCTGTTCTTTTGTAGTCATTACTCACAGTTTATATCAATGTTCACATTGTCAAACTAACACGTTTATATATTTATCAGTTATTAATCATCCATAACTAAACTATTTATTCCATCATTTTATATGAGATATTCCAAATTTTATCTTAAAAATTATGTTATACTTTCAACCAATGGTTATATATGTCTATATTATGTTTTATATCAATCTATTAAGTTTCTATCACAGAATTATCTAGTCAATTACATTACCATGTCTTTTTGTCCAACCATTGATAAAACAAATCCCATATCATATAAAATTGTTTATCTTCTTGTTCTCTAATTTCAAATGTCAATTTACTCATTTCAGCACAGTCCATATTTTTCTTAATAACTTCCTCCTGCATCGGTATTTTATCGTTTTTCCAATTCTTAGCAAATACAATTCTAGCCGCTGTTAAAACATTTACAATCAAATATTTCAGCTCTTTGTTGTATATTTCCAGTATAATTCCCAATAAAAAGATCTCTGGTTTAAAGTCTATATGTTGTTTTATCATTTTTTCCAACCATGTGTGGATTTTAGTCCAATATCTTTTTGCATCCCAGCATGTCCACCACATATGGTAATATGAACCAGGTATCTGATGACATTTCCAACATTTATCCGATTCTTAAACATTCTTGCAAGTCTGGTCGGGGTAGATGCCACCTGTAAAACATCTTATACAAATTTTCTTTATATGCAGTTGACATTGTCATTTTATAATTTTGAGACCACAATTTTTGCCATTTTTCTAAATCAATCCCATATCCAAATTTTTTCCCCCAAGCAATCATCGAAAACTGTTGAAGTTTGAAGTGCTTTGTCCTTAAATCTCCATACTTCTACTTAAAAACGGAGTTTTACCCTATTTGGTAAATTCTTCCTATTCTGAATAATTTTGCTGAAAGATCTCCACTGCTTGGTTGCCATAGAAATCCAAGCTTGATGAATAATACATTGCCATTGAGGTAATAGTAAAATTATTCTCAGGAAAATATGTGTTATTACTCTCCTATCAATTCAGTGGGATACATTGCAAGTAAACTTATCAAACTGGAGAAATTAATGTATTAAATATCCATTATCTATAATAAAGCAGCCATGACATGTACACAATGACAATAGAAGCAAAACTATGTTCCACCATTGGGTGTCACTCTTCCTTTATATAAAAAAAATTATTGGTCTTGGTGGAAAACAATGGACAAGTCTGAAAATCTCTTTCAAATTAGTATAGAAAAAAAGCAGATTGGTTTTGGAAATACCTGATGTCACAGGTGTATAAAAATCTAGGCAAAAATATTTGTGTTTCTTTGCTTTATCTTTTTCACTGAAACACAGAGTATAACTGAAGGGAATAGTAATAATAAAGAGATAGCATTAAGTAGAGAGTTACTCTATAGGCATTTGTTATCTTGCTGTTGCAAAAAGATTTCCTTAATTGTTAATTTCCTTAATTGTTGTAAAACAATTATAAACACATGCCTGCAATCAGTTACATCCCTCTTCTATTAAGACACATGATTGCCCCATCTACATCAATCTGAATCCATCTGTTTTCCTGGATTGATACATTTCACCCCAGCATCACCCAATGGGAATGAAACGTACCTCTCTGGGAATGTAAGGTACCTCCATTCCACACCTTTGAAGTATGCTGTTAATTAGTTTCCTTTAGTGGTCAATTGTGATCAGTTAGATCAGTGGCAGTCAACCTGGTCCCTACCGCCCACTAGTGGGCGTTCCAGCTTTCATGGTGGGCGGTAGGGTTTTTGTCCCCTACTTTATAAATCACCATTACTGTGGAACCGACGGGTGGTTAAATTTTTTTACTACTAACAGAGATACAAAAGTGGGCAGTAGGTATAAAAAGGTTGACTACCCCTGAATTAGATGGACAATAGGAAAAGATAATGAAAGGTAAACATTGCCGGAGAGAGATTTGTCTTTTGTAGGAAAGATGTAAATCTAAGTTAGAGATTTTTACAATGCAGTTACTCGACTTCTAAGAATCTTAAAGGTATAAGAAGGAGAGGGCATCTTTCTGTAATTTGTAGAATTTTCCTCCCATGTCTCTTATGATGTGCTAGGAACTTCTTACCCAGATCTTTAACTTTGATCACAGAATAAAAGTCTGCTTTCTTTGATTTGCAAGCCTCTGTTATAAGTCTTTGGTTTGGTTCATTTTTGACTTAAGCGTACTGCCTTACAGAACTTTTGCATTTGTTTTTCAAAATTAGGTTGCATTCTCCACATCTCTTAGTGGAAAGAAGCCTCAGTCTAAAGCATGGGTATGAAACTCATGGGGTCACGTTGCTGTCAGATGTTTTGTGACTTTTTCCCTTTGCAGAGCTGAGGTGGGTATGGCCTGTGTGTGACACATCTGGCCCATGGGCTGCCAGTTTGACACCCCTTTTCTAAAGCAATACTGCAGGGAAAATTATTCTTGTAGGAATGAAAGGGGATGTAAATACCTTATAATTCTGCTTTGATAGGCTAGTAGAACATTTTAGAGATAATTAATGTACCTTCAGCAGACACCGCATGTACTACTACTACAAAGGGGCCCAGAGAGACCCACTGAGTTCTAAGCATATTCTAGCTTCATCCATATGACTCTTGCTCTCCTTTCTCTGTCTTTTGCTGGAGAAAGTTTTAATATTCCAAAATTTGAGTTTCAACATCTTTTTGTGTCGTGGTGACCAAAAGTGGATGCAGTATTTCCTGGTGTGGTCCTACCAATGCAGTATAAAGCAGTACTAAAATTTTATCTAATCTTCATATGGTGTCTCTGTTGATGCAGCCTAGGACTGCATTGGCTTTTTTGGCAATTGCAGCACAATTCTGGCTCATACATAAGTGGTTGTCCGCTAGGAAGCTTAGATCCCACTCACAGTTACTGCTCTTGAGCCAAGTGACACCTACTTAAGGGGGGTCCAGATGAGGTCATGTTACTATTGTAATCCTCTTATTCTCCCTTGGTTTCTTCATTTTCTTCAGGAACCAGGAGAAAAACATATCCAATCTACTAAAAGTGGTGGGGGGGACACCAAGATAATAAGTCAAGTCAAGGTCTACCCAAAATCTCATTTCCAATATCTCATACACCCATGCCAGAACTTCAACAAATCTATTCTGGCCCCAGCACTTGGGTGTTCTAAATGGAACAAATCTATTTGGCTCCTGAGATTTTTTTTTAAATCATAATTTGTATGGAAGAAAAGAGGGAAGATAAAAAAAGAAATGCTGAGCACTGTAGCAGTGAAAGAAAAGAAACTATTTTGAAATGAAGACTATCCTTTCACAGTGAACTAATCCAAAACAGGTATTGCAGAAATTAAACTGTCAAAGATATGCCTTTTCATTTGGGGCCTTGAGGGAATTTCATTAACTAGTTTCTAGAAACAGCAAATGTGCCTCATGACAAATCCTCTGTCAGGTTCTTGGCAAGAATTCAAATTGCTTTCAAGGAAATTAATGGGCGGAAAACTTATAATAGTGGATGACGAACCAAAATGGTTGGTTTAAGAGCTCCAGGCCTTTGGTTTGGAAATGCTTATTTGAATATTACAAAAGAAAACTGCTGATAAATTACTCAGTGCAGTCTGTGGTTATTCAAATTCTGTTGGAGCATAGATGATCTTCCTATCAGCATGATTTCCAGACAAAGTAAGGAGCAATAATGAGTAGTGAATAAATTGGCTTATAGTTTCCTAGTGTGACAATGTAGAGATTGCTTCTTTTCTAATTTGAAGGTGATTCAGCTATTTCCATTGTTCTTGTCTTAAACTGAGGGACTTAACAGTTGAAGGATGTGACTATGACCATGCTAGTTAGGGAATATTGGGAGCTGGAGAAGAAATGTTGGAAACCATTATAATTTGTATTAATGTCCAGAGAAATGGCCCTTGACTGGAACAGTAGCAAATTAGTAAATTAGTTGTTAAGATAGGTGACCTTACAAATGGAATAAATGAATGGATAGATAAATAAATAAATGAATCTAAGGAGTAGAGCAGCGGTGGCTAACCTTTTTGGACTCCTGTACTGAAAATAGCACGCACACTTGTGCTTGTGTGCTT